AAGAAAGTCTCGAAATATTTTTGAGGGTTATTCGGCTAATTTGCTAGCTTTATCATTCCCCTTTTCTTTCCTTCTTTCTTTCTCCTTGCGTCTCTCTCTCTCTTTCTTAGATGAGCCACTGCTCCCACTGTACCTGGAGCAATTGTATTGAGCTTGGGCTGTAAGGATTGTTTGAGAATTTTCTGCAACAGGGGCGTCCTGACGACCCCCCAAGTCTGTGGCATCCACTAGGTGGCGCCCGCACCCACGGCAGCGCGCGGCCTCCCGCGGGCGCAGGTCTGCAGCCGCTGCGGCGTGCTCTGGTCGGCTGGGAGCGCGGTGCGAGCGGTGCGGAGCGGCTTCCCTGGGTCTGCTCCAAAACGCCGCGAGGCCGGTGGCCCTTCAGCGCGTCCCCGAGCGCGGACAGTGGCTGGCTCGGGGCGGCCGAGCCCTCCGCCGCGGGCAGCAGGCTGAAGCTGCCGCCTGGAGCCGGAACGGGCTGCAGACATCCACACTGCCAGGGTGGGAAAGGGAAACAGAGGCAGGCAGCAGAGAGCTCGCTTCCCTCTCGGCCGCCAGGCAGGCACACGTCTGTTTGTGCAGACAATGGGGCCCCGCTTGACACGCAGAAGCCAGGGCCTGCTGGAGGTAGAGTCAGAGAGTAGGAAACGGGGCTATTTTGCTTTTCTTTTGAAGAGCACCGGGACAACTTCCTTAATTACATGAGATGAGAGGCTGAAGGCTTTGCACGCTTATTTGACTCCTATTCCCGTCCTCTCCTCTGCGAGAGGAGGCCGAGGACCTGGCAGCCCGCGCGGCCTTTGCAGAGTGTGTGCAGGCGCAGCTCTCACCGCTAGGCTGGGGTGCGGGCGAGCAAGGCCGAGCTTTACTCTGCAGCGTGTCCCGCCCAGGGCTGCTGCGTGGGGTGATTAGGAGGACGCAGCTGGGATCTGGACGGGAACCTCTGACAAAAGGTAATGGAAACGCAGGAGCGAGGGGGGAACCTCGCAGGCCTGCAAAAACCCGCCTCGAAGTACACGTGCCCAGCTCAGCTTTGGAACAAAAATAAGAGCCCGCTCGACTGAAGCTCTTAGAAACCTGACCCGCGCTGGCCCCGCAACCCCAAATTTATCTGCAGCCCCCCTGAAGGTGCTTAGGTCCGGGAGGAGATTTTCTGCCTCGAGGATCAGCACGCACAGCCGGGCAAATAAATGCTCCAGGCAGCTGCTGCTGGTCGGCAGGTTCAAGGATAGGGAGCTTGTCTAATTAAAAATCTGCAGGCTCATTTTGATTTCGGTCAAAATAGATTTTGTTATTTTAAGGTTTCCTGCGGAATAAGAGAAGTATTCTTATTTCCTTTTCTCTTGCATGCCCAGCATGCCGATTTCCGTTCCTATCCCCTGCTGTAATGCTAATAGGAGGTTCAGCATGGAATTCTTAAGATCTCCCCAGGGGTGTAATTTTGGTTCAGGAATATGCAATAGCTTAACATAGGGAAAAAAAATAATTTGGGGTGTATGGAAATTGTGTAGCAGTTTCAGTTGCTTCTTTAAAAATGTGCTCGCCTCATGATTTTCATAGGCTGGAAGAAGAGGAGGGCACGTTATATTCATCTCTGGAAGGGATTTTACCTGATGGTTGGTTTATGGTTTTGAAGGAGAGAAGACATGCGGTTTAATTCAGAAGTCCTTTTTTTTTTCTAAAATAAAACCTTTACTCTTATTTATTAAAATACGACACTTCAGTACACACGAAGACAAAATGATTTCTGGTATGTTAGTAGAGAAAAATCTGGAGGTGACAAAAAAGGGTGGCTGAAAGACAGATTCTGGTTAACAATATAAATCTCTTGAAGTAATATACTTTTCACCTCTGGGTGCCACTGTTCCACTGCTTCTTGTTTTTATGGCCGGGGTGAAAGGCGGATGCCTCTTGTAGATGTATTCTTAAAAGAATCCGTTAAAGAGACCTTTCCTCTGTCTGCAGTTATCTGCTAAATAACTTTTTGGCACATGGATGTAAATTCAACATGGTTGTGATTTGCCATTTTAATTACCAAATGATGACCAAATAATATTAAAGATTGTTTATATGGGCAATTGGCTGGGTTAAAAGCCTGAATTCATCTTCCATGGAAATGAATCTTGTATTTACCTTTTGGTAAGAATGTAACTAGAAACACACACACACACACACACACACACACACACAAGACAGTTTTAGTTTAAATTCCTTGGCCATTTGTAGATATTTTATTTCTGTAAACCTATTTCCATAGAAGCCAATTTTATAAGTACTGCGTAGTATTGGGAAGAATTAATCAATTCAAATATAATTTTAGGAACCTAACATTGTTAAGCTTGATATTCTTTTTCACTGAACTTTAAAGCTTAACTCCTTCAATATTAAAAAAAAAACCCTACAGAATGATGTCTATACACTTTTAGAATTCTTAATTTTCACATGATTATTTTAATAAATAAAAGCCATAATATTTATCATTTTACCAAATGTATGAGTACTTTTTTTTTTTTTTTAACAAGATAGGTGGTGAGTTAGGATTCTGTACCAAGAAACAAATACGTGTTTGGTTGCTTTTCAAATCTGCAATTATTTATTTTAAACCCGAAGTTCATCAGAGGAAGCGGTTATAATGTTAAAAGTTAATTTTGTTTTGTCATATACAAAGTAGTTCATCTAAAAATTATTGATTGATATTCTCCTTCTTTTAACTGTTTTAGGACTCAATATTTAAAGCAAAACTAATTTATCTAGGTGTTCCACTGCACAAAATTAATTCTGCTGGGACTGGTGAGGCCAAGCCTCATTACGAACGGTTCCTCTTGCTGAACTAACCTAAGTCTCATGCTTACTGGGATACTTTTTCAAAATTATTCACAACAAAGAATTTAACCCTTGAGGTGCTAGAGAATTGACCTTCAGAGCATGTCTTACCTCGGTGACTGCTGCTTGGGTCTTTGAAGCCAGGCAATTAAATCTGTGTATACTGGAGGGATTTTAGTTTTATGGTCCATATGCCAGAGTTGATGTATGAATTAAAAAAATTTTCCCCTTCCCTAAGTTGTGTCACCGTAAGTATATCATTGACTCTGTCTTTTTTTCATGTTTATGTAAGCGGTGAATTTACCTGGGAGGCCAGATAGTTGTTTAGATTACACAGCAGTCTCGACTAATGTCTCCTGCTTAAGTGTCTGGCTGAATCAGTTGGTCACCTGGGCTTTTTGTGCCTGCTTGGAGCATAAGAGTGTAACTATTAAACATCAATAATTTTTTTTGCAGCTATAAAACTAGTTCAGTGTCATCATTTATAACCTCCCTTTTTTGCATGGTTTTTTTTAATGCCTGTGGACAATGTTATTGGAGAATGAATTTTTTTCTAATATATATTAAGCAAAAAAGGGGAATGAGCTTTAAATTCACACATGTTAAGAGCACACCTCCCACAATGAGCTTCACCCTGAACCCCTACATGGCAGCTGTCATGTTGACTTTTTGCCTGCCGTGTAGCACTTCCTAAAGACGAGGCTGTATTTCACCGGAAAGGTCTTTTCCATTTTAAGTTCTTCACTTCTTTCGGGCGTCTCACAAATTTTTTTCATGGAAGTGATTTTCCTCAAAGTGCCGTACCTCCCTCTAGAATGTTACTAATTTGGTGCAATATATTTTCTTATTGTGGCTGGTAAGAAATACTTATTTGATGTTAGTGAGGAGGGCCAATCCATGAATGAGGCTTTTCCAGAGAAAAAGATGTTGGCCACCCTGACAGTGGTGAGGTGTCTTTTTTTTTGGTGTTAGGGATAGAACCCAGGGCTTGCCCATGTGAACGCATGCTCTACCTCTAAGCTGCACCCCAGCCCCCTGATTAGGTGTCTTTATAATGGGAGCAATAATTGAATCTTTAGTAGGTTGCTTGATCCACATGCTAACAAATGAATACTTTCCCCACGCACCCCTCGCCGAGAGCTGACAAATTTCCATTAAATTAGCTGACTGACTTGTTGCTTTGTCTCTCAAAATGTACCTCTGGACGGTGCTCTAGTTACGCTGTGAGACCTAATTCATCAACTTAAACTCATTTTATCTGAAAGGCAGTAACAATTGTTGCGTTTTCCTAATGTAAAAATAGCTTAAATCAATTATTTCTGGCTATCCATTAAATCACACAAAGTAACAGGATTAACAAATACTCATTTAGGTAGTTCAGTGGTACTTGATAAGAAAATCCTCCTGGTTCTATAAAATTCAAATGGATTTATTTTTTTCTCAAAAATTTTATGAGTCCCTGTTAGCAGGACATAATGATTGTATTCCTTGCGGGGATTTGGTACACATACAATCACAATTTAAAAATTGCCTGCCTAGGTCCTCTTGCTTTAAATAAAGTAGAAATAGCTTTAAAAAACTTTGTAAAAATATAGACTAGCCGATTGATTTCATTTCTCTGTGAAATGATAGTTTGAAAAGAAACTGCTGCTCTGAGAAACTGAATTCTTGATCTATAACGCGGTTTGTGCTTCTGTTTTAAATTCATTGCCAAAGGTATTTAAGCTCCACAGATTTCCCGCCCGCTGTGTTCTTGTCAGCCTAGATGCACTAAGAAAGACTAAGGCTTTATACCTTGTGGACATTTAATGAACATAAATTTTAATTAAGAATTTAAATATTAATCTCCACGTAGATGTAGGTCTATGTTAGTTTGGATCCTTTCATAATAAATAACAGTGTATAGCAACCTTTAGGTTCTCCTCAAGGAAATGCGTTTAGAGTTTAAGGAGAACATCTAGCAGTTTCTTTATGTCTGATCAGAACAGTATATGTCCATGGCTAGCCAAGGGATAGCGCTTAAAAAAAAAAAACTTCCCACTTTTTATTTACTTTTTGGATTTACTTTTTCAGTTGGAAAATCCCCACGAGATGATTTTTTAAAAAAACTTAAATGTATCCTGGGAACATGCCGTTCCAGGATTTTGGAATGGGGACTTCAAACGCAGTTGGTCAGGGAGGCAAATGCGTAAGTGGAAACTTTGAGGAAACTGGCAGAGGCGCGTGGAAATCAGACCGTCATCTGCGCAGGGCTCCACCACCCTCTGCCTGTGCGAGTACAAAGCCGCGCTGGTGCGGCTGTGACTCACAGCTCTGCTCTCAGGAACTGGGCCGGAGAGATTCCCAGCATCTGTTTCCTCCACTATCACCCAGAGGATACTGGTGCTAAATCACAGGGCATAAAAATAGCCTTCGACATGGACTTTCAAACAAATAAGGCATGGATATTTGACAGTGCTTTGGAGTCTCCCGCAATTCTTCATTAGTTACCTAATGAATATATTATTTTTATGTTAATGAGTTACATTGCTTGCTTTGTTCACCTAAAGGTTGAACAGAATTTTGACATCTTTATTGATCTGGGTTCAGCTACTTCCTAGAATTAGCATTGTGTTTGATATTAAACCCTGAACCATTTAGTCGAATAAAGGTTGGTCTACGATCAGCAAGAAAAGTGGTAAAGCTTTATTTCAGACATAATAAAATATGTATTTTTTAAAAACTGTATTACCTGAGATATATAGTAAAATCAAAAGCCCTGCAAAGTTCTTACTGTAATGTCAATTGCCAACAGAGTGATAAGGTCTCTCTTATTTTGGTTGCAGGAAATTTTATGGCCAGAATCTTACAATTTGACACAATTTAAGATCCTTCCAGGTTCTGTTTTACATATAAGAAAGTATTTTTTAGGTCTGGCTGGAATTGTTGTAATTTGATATTAAGTTATAGCTTCAGATTTTCAACAAAACAGCTGCGGTAATAGATGAGATTAGCAAGTGGTGAAAAGTTCAAAGCATTTAATGGAATTGATCTACTAAATTACCATTGACAATTTTTAGTGGCTATCTTAAATATACATTATTATCATGAAAGAATTAGTCCAATTAAGCCTTTACATTGAGAAGATGCCCAGTCTGACCTTGTTCTACTCAGTGTGAGAAGTGAGAGGCCTTCTGGGTCTATTTAAATTTGGTGCTAAATCAATAGGTTTGGGGGACTCTTTCAGTCCTTCTTTGGAAAAGAAGAGAAACTGAAGACTCTTTAAGGTGACAACTTTATAGCATAGTTATGTATTGCAAATAAGAACAATGGTCAAAGAAGATTTGATGGATAAGAAGAACTAAGAGTTGTGTGGGTTTCTCACCCTTTCTTACGCCTACCATATTTACTGTGTATGTATATGTGTGTACTACATACATTTTGGAATGGAGTTGTATTGGACTGAATTTTAGGTTTTATTTAGAACATACTGAATTAAGAAATAACCAGCTAACTTTTTTATAAAAATGGAAAGCTATGCAAATATACAGGAAAGATAAGCATGAGATTTACCAAAAACCCATTTCCTATATATTCATAGATATTTTATATTCTATTGATGAAGATTTCTGTGGTGCCTTGAACATAAGTATTAGGAAAATACAATTGAGCTTCATATTTCAATTCAATTGTACTGCTAATGGTTGATTACTTGTATTTATTATAAGATTGTGGTGCCTGCGTCCGGGAGGGGCTTGCTTCAGAGGCTGCCCATTCATTAACACACGGAAGCTTGTACATGAGACTTCATCATTGGAGCTCAGCATGTAGCTCCTGTGCAAGAGCCCTGAGGATGAGTTATTTCAGCTGAGGTTTCATTGTTTGTCTTTGCTGTTGCGATCCATTACCATATTTAATGCTCCAACTCCCTAGTCGGGGTTTCTAACTCAGAAATTTTTGGACATTTCTAGTAGAGACGTTGTGTGTTAGATCACTTCAGAAAAACACTGGAACTACTTTAGCCCTCTCTGGCTCTTCTGTGAACTGAAGCACTGAATTCTCATTTATCAGCTTCTTAGCTGTTCTATGTTTTCCCTGAATGTTCAGCAACTTATTCATATCCGTCTTTAAATAAAGAGTTCTTAGGGAATTTAGTGCTTTCGTGGGTACCCAAGAAAGGTGGAAGGTTATCTCATTCCTTCTTAAAAATGGTTTGAAAACCCTTGCCACTGCCAAGAGTCTGTTAGGTGCTGGAATACAGTAAGAGTAAAAAAATCTTGAAGGAGTGCCAGGGGTGGTGGTGCACATCTGTAATCCTAGTACTTGGAAGGTTGAAGCAGGAGGATCACTGTGAGTTGGAGGCCAGCCTGGACTTCATAGTGAACTGTGTAGCAAGTCCCTGTCTCAAAAACAAACAAGCAAACAAGCAATAGAACTTGAGGGAGAAATAGACTTGCTGCCAAACAATGGCAAAGTGATAGATGTGAACAGTGTGCTGTGTACAACATCTACTTCTGTAGCATCATCCTAATTCCGAATCCATCAAAACACACCAGGCTTTTCTACGTGAGGAAGACGGCTGCATGTTACCAACACAGGGCAAGTTGCTCGCGAAGCTATATTGGATACTAATGCTGTTGATTGGAAACTCTCTCAAGGGTTCTGGTTATTTAGGTCACTTATTTTTAATTGCAGGCATCTACTCAGTTCTCTGTATCATTTCAAGGTAATTGAGAAGAATCATTTTGTGCCACTCATTCAATGTTGCCAGATGAAAATTCAGAGCTGGGCTGTCAGAGAAGTGGGCAAGTTTATTTCTGATCATAATGTCTCACACGTCAGCACTGGCTCTTTCATAGTCCAGCACTGATCATAGCATGACACAAGGTTTTATTTGGGCACCATGAATAAGTTTCCCCTATTTATCCATATGTAATACACCATTCAGTTCATTACAGTAAAACTAAATAGGATAGATAACACGTGATAACCATCTGTAATCCCCTACCCAGAGAGTAACCTTGTACCTTACTGATATACCCATGCGTGTCAGTGGATGTGTGTGAATGTGTATGTGGAATGTGTACCTGTACTGTTTTTACCTTGCTTCATTCACTTTGTACTATCTAGAGTTCATTTCCTAAGGCAATGCAATCTTTTGACCTTAAAATTTACCTTTTTGATATTAAGTCCCAGCTGCGTCCATTCATTGTTCAGTAATTCTTCTCTAATTCCCTGAGTAGAAAACCTGTCCTTCACAATACTATTCTTGTAGCTCTCTCTCTCTCTTTAATTTAAGTACCTCACTGTTTAGTAATTGTAGTCTCTGAAAGTAGGACCTGTGTGAGATATATCTTCTGTGTGAGGTTTTTAAAATTCTAGTTACATAGTGATATTTTTCAGTGTGTGAGCAAATGAACTTTAGTAACAGAAATTGGAATCTTTGACCTTTGTGTTTTGATTCTAGTTCTGCTTTGATTTTAGTTTATAACTCAGTTGACCCAGGGAGGGAAAGAAAATAAAGCAATTTCTCACTTACCTATAGCATTATCACGTTATGAGGTAACAAGGTACAATGGACCACACAATTGGAGCCAGCCTAATATTGACCATTTCGAATGAAAGTCTTTTTGGTGGACTGTATACTTCTTAAACAAATACCAGTTGTAATGTTAATTTAAGACATTTAAAAAATATAATCAATTCCCCATAATTAATGAACATTATTTTGATGTATGTCCTTCCAATTTTTCTGTGTATTCCTCCTACACATTTGAAATATGATTTTTGCCATAGTTTTTTTTTTACCAAACTGAGCTCATAAAATTATTATCTATTTCCATATCAATATAACTATCTTTACATGAAAATAAATTTATGATTATTAATTAATGTTAAGAGCTATATAGTATTCCACTATGGGACATGCCATAATTTATCCTTTTTTAACATTTAAATTTTTATATATCTCAAATCTTTCATATTATAAATAACATTGCAATAAGTACCTTCACTCCTACTTCATTGGTCATTGGCTAAGGCCACTTTTAAATTTATTCTTATACTGCAAATTTGGGCAAGATTGCTGTCCCTTTTCTTTCATCATAGTCAAACATCTTGAAAGAAAATTACATTCACTACTGGGTAAGCACTTTGGAAATCAGGATTATAGTGTTTGCCCATTTGAGGTTGTCTATTAGATTTAAAAATCTTGGCCACTGCCAGAGTAGGGACAGCCACACCCAAGCCTCTCTATGTGAGGCAGCGCACTTGGTGGACTGCATGGGGAGAGAATCAGGCCTCACCAGGAGGCGATCCCACCTGGGAAACCATGTCATTTTCATTGTTTTGTTGGGTTGGGTTTTATTCTCTTTTGTTTTGTTTTATTATGTTAAATCTGATGGCATGAGCAGCTATTTTAAAAGATAATAAGACATACTGTTAGCCACTTTGGATTTACTATTAGCTTATTTTGAAGTTCTGTATTGCATTCACTGTTTTGTTTCTGTTGTTTATATGCTATTCTGTTCTGTTTGATTTTTACTATGTCCGAAGGTATCTGCAGCTATTTTGAAGACAACAAAAGGCATTATGGTAATTATTGCGGATTTCGTAAGGATTTGAAGTCCTATATTTTTAAATTGGTTTTATTCTGTTTTATTTTCCTTGGTTTTATCCTTTTTAAAATAAAACAAATCTTTGATTTGGTATAAAGGCAGCACTGAGATAGGATTGTAAGTTTTTGGGAACCGACAAGAAGAGTTGCTATCCTTTTTGCATAAAATAAATCATTGTTAATTAGAGATATAGGATTTTGCAATTGGGACCTCAAGTGTAAAGAGAGATCGTTATTTTTATTTTAAGGAAATCAATGCTGTTAATTGAGATCTGGTCCTATTCAAAAGTTGAGGGAAGTCAGAGATTACTCTTTAGTTTTGTAAGTAACACTGAATAATATTAAGTTGAGTTGATTAGTTTTTCCTCAAATAACTTTCTAAGAGGAAGTGGCCCTCATTATGGTCTTAGAATTTAAAAAAAAAAATTAAGAAATTGACAAAATTTCATCATTGTTTTAGTTACTTTAAAACCATGTGTTAGCAGAAATAAATGAACAGACACATCCTGGACTTTCATACAGCAACTTGGAATAGTCAGGTAAAAGTGGTGTAACTGACCCTGGCACGGTGGTGCACGCCTGTGGTTGGAGGCTGAGACAAAAGTGTCAAAAATTCAAGCCCTGCAATTTAGCAATTTAATGACACCTCATCTTAAAAAGTTAACTCAGTACGACGGCCATGGGTTCAGTTCCCCAGCACAGAAGGGAAAAGTGGGAGCACAACTGGGAATCAAGCTCTCCAGGAGAGGAGGAACTGGGTAGTTTTGGGGTGCTGTGTCCCAGTGTACTACAAAGAATGATGCACAAACAGACTCTACAAAGAAAAGAGCCATGGTTAACCAGCGTAGTATGATTAGAAAGGTGCAGGCATCTGAGCCTTTGGCCAGAGAACTGAGCTAAACTCAGCTCTGCCAAAAAAAGCATGGGGGGTCGTTTGCAGCCCTGCAGGGCTGACAGGGCCTCTGCTTTATAGGCCTCGTTGGGAAGCGATTCATGCTGTAAGTGGTATTGGAGTTGAATTTATCTACCTTAGAAAGGGTACATTAACTGTGCTTGAATCAGTGACGGCTCCAGAGAGCCAGTGAGCAGGCGGATGGATTGTGGTGGAGGGGAAGCCCGTAGGGCGGGAAATGGGCTGTCTGGGGTCAGCCTCAGTGCTGCTGCTCCCTGGCTAAGTAGCTGGGCAGGTTCCTTACCCAACTTGTGTTGTTTCCTCTTCTATAAAACAAAGAGCTTGGTGTGGGCCCCGGAACAATGGCCTCTGTGGTCATCCCCAAGTTTTGGGCAATCCTAGTCTCAGGTAGCCTGGCTCCCCAGGGCTGGGGATTTTGTTTGCCCAGGATAATTATAGCTACCGTGGTTAAAAGACAAACTTCATCCTGAGGCTTACATGGTTTATGCCATGGGATTCTGCAGGATAGGATAGGGGTGGATGGGGAAAGGTTATTGATGTTGCTGATTTTTTTCAAACTTATTTTAACATGTTGAAACATTTTATTTTTTCTTAAATTGTTTCTGGGTAAAGTATTAGCAGCACATATTCACTGGGAACCTATTTATCTTTTCAAACTTCAATAGAAAGAAATCTTAGCAGTCAATATTTGAGGTTGATAAGGCATTCAGATCGAAAGGAGTTACTTTTGTTTTTGATCAGATTCTTGAGTTGTCAAGAGACAAAGATATGATAACACAATCATCAGGAAACTACAGTACCTATAAATAAACTCCTTGATATTTGGTTTCTTGAAATATGATTCTTAACATTATCTTTTACCTTTTCACTATTTGAATTAAAAGTAGAAACAACTCCCAGAGTATAGTACCCTTTCTATAACAGAATGTTATTTATGAAAAACAAGCCAGTGAAAGAAATCCTTTTATAATTTATAATTCCGTGAATAATTCCGTGAAAGAAATCCTTTCTTATTTGCAAAATTTGGAAAACAATTCTTTTAAATTTAAAGCGTTTTTTCACTTGTTCATATAAAAATGACTCACCGTTCACTTGCTTTTGAACTAGTGTAGATTCAGAACTGCTTGTGAAGAAAAATTCTAGCTTTACCTGTAAGTTCCCCCTTGATCCAGTTTTGCATACAGAGTAATGGCCAGGACCTTGTTCAGACTTCTGTGTTCCTAGGAAGTATCAATTTTACCATCAGCTCATTTAACCACCAATCAGATATATTTGTGGCTAGAAGTACCTGTTAGTCAACTCTCATAAACTTACCAGCTTAAAACAGGTGTTGGCAAATCATATCTGTAAAGGGCCAGAGAGTAAATATTTTTGACTTTCCCAGTCATATGGTCTCTGTTGCAGCAACTCAATTCAGCCATTATATGGTGCAAAGTGACCATAGATAATACATAAATGAATGAGCCTGGCTGTGTTTCAATAAAACTTTATTTATGGAGACTGAAATTGATTTGAGTTTTATATAGTTTTTGTGTGTTACAACATACTCTTCAGTCTTTCTAGGTGTTAAAAAATAGAAAAAGCTTTCTTACCTTGTGGGCTGTATTGAAGGCAGGTGGTAGAGTGGTTTTCACTTGTACGCTGCTCTAGGCTGCTGGGCCCTGGTTTAGAGAATTGAAGTTATGAGGCCATGTTTGAGAGACACAACCAGTAATTCGTGGGGGAGCAATGAATGTTCATGGTCTCTCTCACAGTTAGGACTGGGCATGTTTCTAAGCGCTAGGCAGTGTGGCAGGAGCAGAAGTGAGGTGGCATTGGCTACCGGCCTGCGTGATCCTCCATGTTCTTTTGCCATGTGTAAAATATGTCGGGGTCTTAAGATGGAGGAAGGCTGGTTCTCATTTTGGTTTATATAAGAAATAAATTTTGTTTGTGTTAAGCCATTGAGATTTGCAGGGTTTTTTTGTTTTGTTTTATTTTTTGTTGTAGTGTAGTTATCTCCACTAACCTGCCATTTATTTTTCCTGGTGCTTTTGATTCTTGTGCTGCAGACTGTAGAAGCCTGGTTCCTTGGATAGACTTGCTTTTTTCTCTGCTTCATTTATTTCCTTCTCCCACTGAGGTGGTAGGCAGGAAACTGGGTTCCTTTCTATGTGTTAACCGATCACAGTTTGGTGGCCACTGTCTTCATGGAGAGACGTTAAAAGAAGCTCCATTGCTTCTCCCATGGAGATATTGGTGAGGAAACCATGCCCACGTAAAACTTACCTGAGGCATTCTTTTGGAACTCAGGGCCAGGAAAAGCTTATCTTCCCATGAGGAATTTGTATGTTTTCTTATCAACAAAGAGAATATTGTTGAATGTGCCTGATTGTATTCCCTTTTCCCTTTTCCCTCTGGTTGCCAAGAAGCTCAGAGATAAATTTTTGGCTCAACATTAATAACTTTGTAGGACCCTGTGGCCTACATATCTGAATTTTTAGTTTCTTCCTGATCTTGACCTTCTATTCTGCTATGTGTCCCTTGTTCCTGATATTTTAAATTTATATTTTTCAGTTTTATTGCTTGTTTTCTTATAAGCTTCCTCAGATTCTTTGTGAGAACAAACTGGGGTAAATAAAAAAATGGCTTCAGCTTATTAATAGAATACACCAAAAGTATTCCTTCATCACCAGTTTAGTGGCCTGGGAAGTGGGATTTCCAATTTATTTCTCAGGTTCTTTCCTTCGCCTTTGTGTCTCATGGTTTGGTGAAGGGATGGTTTTGCAATTATGAGACCTGAAGGCCTTCACATTTTCCCAGTTTATTTTGGAGGAAAGAGCAAGTCACTTTACCAACAGCCCCTATTATTTACCATGGAAAGTGTAGAAAGGTCATAGATAAGCTTCACTGACAGAGGATAGACTTGGGAAAGACATTTGCAATTTTTGAAAGCACCAAAAAAATTATTATAAAGAGTATTTCATGGCTCTCTGAAAATCAACAGGATAAGAAATCCAACAGACAAATGATCAAAAAATATGAATAGTTATTTTCTCAGGGATGTAGTAGAAAGTCTAGTAAAAGTATATTGTATGACCAGATGCTGAAACTTACCTGTAACAGGAGAATAGTATATGAAAACAAAGTCTTTCACATTTATCTAAGTGGCAAAAATGAAAACATAGATATATGGCAGATGTTGGCAAGGATGTGAACTATGGGACCCCCATGTACAACACTTGATGGGAACTGAGGCTGGGAAGTCATGTGTCAGTACTGGATGAAGTACAGGAGTGTCTTAGGACCCTCCTCCCCCAACCAGGTCGATATTCCAGACATATTCTTCCCCAAAACCAGTAGAGGACATACAACACAGGTCCATCATTGCCATCTTAATTGTGGTAACAGGGCATTTAAGGCATCCTGTGTCCATCATACCTTAGTTTAAAAGATGAGGGGACAACAATGCTCTTACTTCATAGGATTGCTGTGAGGATTAAATAAATTAAAGCACTGAGAATGACATTTGACACATAGTAAGCATTGTATAAGTACTTATTAACTGTATGAAGCAATTTAAAATATTTGGGTATCCAGCACAGCCAGCTGTGCTGGGGGCTGGGAATACATCTCAGGCAAGAGGCTCTTCTGTCTTGCCTTTGATCCTGGGTTCTAGGATCTGAGCTGTTGCTTCCTTGTTGGTACCCAAGCTCCATCTACTGCAATACCTTGTTTCTTTTTTCTTGTCTCATGCTCAAACCTGTCTTTATTCTCTGAAAAATATCCAGTTAATGAAGGACTGGGTACCTGAGGAGGTCGCGTCAGTGTGGGAGCCCCTACTCCAGGCTGTCAGATCCTCCTTAAATGGAAACCCAGATGTCTGAGCTTGCCTGGCTCTTGGCCCTTCCGCAGTTCCATCTGGCTGTTGTTTTACTTGCTTTTTCCGTCTTATTGTTGTGTCACAGCACCTCAGATACGTGCACAGATTCTATTTTTGAAGTCTTTCCATTAGAATAAAAGGTTCTTTCAAAAATTCAAGCAAGAATTAGGAATCATCTTCGGTTCTTCCTTTATATTCCCATTTAATCTAGTCAGTCAGCAAGTCCTATTAATCCTAGCTCCAAAATATCTTTTGAATCCACACAGTTTTGTTGATCCACACGGCCGTCACCAAGTCCATCTTACTGTGGTGCTATGCCTGGACCACTGCAGTGGCCTCCGAATGGGCTTCTCTGCTTCCAGCTTTGCCTCCTGCATTTTATTTGCTGCATGGTCACCAGAAAGGCCTTTTAAAAAAATGGAGATTGGATTATGTTGATCCCTGCTCAAACCTTCCAATGACCTTGCATTGCACTTAGAATTAGTGCTACTGAACCATAATTTAATTTATAAGAGCAAGTTTTAAAGTAAGTGTTTTTTAACCCTTGGGTCAACGCTAGAGCATCTTTTGGTATGAAATCCTCAAAATTAAAAAGGGTTAAATTACAACACTTAATTGCTTAATTTTCTTCTTGGTTACCAGATATTTTGCTGCTTAATTAGTTGAAGTGGGAAGGGGGACGACAGGGCGTAGCCTCTAGCAGCTTCAGCTTGCAAAGCTGCTTTCTCTCTGCAGTCTTCAAGAAGACTGATCTGTCCCCTACCTGCTCACCCCAAGTCTTCTGCTGTCGGAGAGAGTTTGTAGCCCTGAGGAATTCTCTTTGAACACTGATCAGGACCAGGATTGGAGATCAGTCCTGGTAAAAAATGTAGAAGGTGGGTAAACAAGCAGGAGGACACCAAGGGTCAAGTCTGGATCCCCAGAAAATATCAGAAGTGAAAGTGGTTGTAGCTTTTGGGGATGAAGCAGACGGAGGTGAAATGAAGGTGAATGTACCGGACTAGAGTCAAGCCCCGTGGTCAAGGTGCAGAGAAGGGGAGGGATGGCTGCCGAAGGAGCCACAGGTGTGGACTTGGCGAAGGTAACGCTGCAGGGCCGGGGAGTAACAATGGGAATCTTCACCACCTGGCAGGTCACTGTGGAGACCTTTCTCAAGCCACAGGTTAATGTTTTGAGTTCTGGAAATGGAACCCTTGTGCTACCTTTCTTTTCCTCCTTTCTGTAACAGCCTTTTATTAACTTTTCCTGAGAAGCCCAGTTTCCATGAGAACCTTGTCAGAATTTCATGTCCTCTTCAATAAGCCCGTGGGCCTCAATTTCATTGAAATTCCCTTGGAAGCTTTTTAAATAGGTCTGTGCAAGAAGTACTGGTTGCATTTCCACTTTATAGATAAAATTGAGGTCTGGGTAAACAATTCGTCCAGGGTCTCAGTACTAAACAGTAGCAGTAGAGCCAGAATTAGAATCTGGGTGGTTGGAGAAGTGGTGAGTTGAGCTACAATATCCTGACAAGGATGGAGATGAGCGCTGCAGGTGGGAGTTCAGGGACTTGCCTTGAAGCTGTGTTTTCATGAATGTGCCTAATTTTAAAAAGTTGGTGTATTTATTTGAGATGGCTTCTAGAAAAGGTAAAAAAGTAGAGTGCAGAGAAGTGAAAGCTAAGACATTCTTTGCCTTGACCATGTCTTCATGTTGCTGGGGATGCAAAGCAGCTAAGGGGCTCATTACAAGGTGCATGGTAATCAGTCACAATATACTTCAGGTATAGCTATCGCTGCATTTCTTGGTTGATGTATAGCTAATTGGCTCTATCCGTGTGGTAACTCTGATGTCAGAATTGAGGCCCCTCGTGCAGTCATGAGTTGGCTGCTAGCTGTGTCTCCCCACACTTTCAACCACTTCCTCTTTCACCTGCCCAAAGGCAGGCTCCAGCTGGCATCGTAATTGTATACTTCATGAATGCTTTGTTCTCTGTTGAATGTTTTTGGTATCTTTTCTTTACTTGGCTAACTGCTATCTATTGTTTAAGATCCAGGGGAAGGTGTCTTTTCCAAGGGGAATTTTGTAATCCTTTTAGCCTGGATTAATTCTTCTTTTGGGTAGGCTAGACTGTTGTTTATTTCAATCAGAGAACTTAAGAAATATACTTTTCCTTTAATCAGACTATAATTTCTCTAGAGCTGTGTTTCATTCATTTCTGCAATGCAGGTCTCAGAAAAATGTCCAGTATAAAGGGAGATGGCTTAAAAATATGTTTATTGAATGAATGAATGAGCCTCCTCTAATCCCACATTCTTTCTAGCTGATCTAATGGGGCAGTTGTAGGTTTTTAAAAATTTTTATTTAAAGAAAGACTAAACAAAACAGAAAATGGGTAGAAATAATACATTCAAAGAAAAAATAAACACTAAGAAATCACTAGTTGATGTTTACATACTGTCCTCTTACAAATAGTTGTTTAAGATACAAAAGTGGAACATGTAAAGTGGGAATTCAAACAGTGAGACTGCAACCAGTTCTGTTCAACTGTCCAACAAAAACTTAGAAATATGGTTATTAATCCTATACACTTAAACATACATGCAGTTATCCATATCTTCAATTATGTTGAGATTAAACAAACTCAAGCAGGCTAATATCACTCTGAACAAAGAATAATACTATTGCTTGGTTTCACATTATGACACTCCAGGATCAGCATTGGGTATTTAGTGTCTCTTTTTCTTCAAAGTATTTATTCATTTCATCATGTGTCATAAGATCAGTTCTCATAAACTGTTTATAGGTTCTACACATGCATGAGCTGATTGTAGGTTTTAAAAAATACCTGGACCAGGCTGGGGGTTTAGCTCAGCAGCACGAGCAGCTGCCTGGCAAGTGTGAGGTCATGAGTTTGATCCCTAGTTAAAAAAAAAAAAACAACCTTGGAAAAATGGATGGATGATACCCCAGGTCAAACTTTTGGGGGTGAGTGATTCTAATAAACAGCCACGCTGAAAACAAGTGGACTAACCCTTCAGCATCACTCCTGCTGTGATTGCCACTTACTAAGAGAAAAGGGGAACAGAAGGATATGTGAGTAAGGTGATAATTTTCCTAGACTGTTTGAAAGTCAATAAAATAACCATACTGGAGGGCTGGGATGAGGGTTATCATAGAATTCAATTATTAAAAAGTAAGACAATTCTGAAAAAGTTGGGAATTGGGGCTGGGGATACAGCTCAGCAGCACAAGGGCCTGCATGGCAAGTGCAAGGTCCTGAGTTTGATTCCCTGTACAAAAAAAAGAGTTGGGATTCATTTTACCAAAATGATATTTTAATGGCTTCCTAGAGTACATTTCTCTAATCTGTGTTATTTCGGGTATTTTTGTCTGTACATCACTTGCCTTGAACATTATTGAACCACATTTAAAGGCTATCTACAATTGACTCATTTTTCTCTTACTTTAATATACTAATTGGCGGCCATCCTAAGAGATTTAAAACATGGCAACGGTAATATGAAGTTAATTATAAAGACAGAGTTCTTTGTGACTCTAGACAATGCTAAGTATAGGCAAACCTGTAAATACATCTATATATTCATCCTCCATGTAATTGTTAGTAGTTACCAGCTCTTGGCTAATGTACTAGACATTGGGGGAAAATATGGGCAAGGTAGGACTCCTTCTGCCAGAAGTTCACTTTCCTGTATGTGTGTAATCAATGGTGCACCATGTTGTGCTACAGTACAAGTACACTGGGGATGGGATGAGTATCAGGGATGGCCTCACCTAGAGCTCGGCTAGGTGCACAGAACAATGGTTCCAAAGGGCAAGGGTAACATTTCAAGTGGTACGGAAAGGATAGCTCCAGTGCAAGGGGCTACGGTGTGGTTAAACCCATAGCACACCATCATGGAATTCTATGCGTGGCCCATTCCCAGGAAAAATCCAAAAAAAGAAGTAACTAATAGTGTGGCAAAGGATATCTAGGTGACAAACATAAGGAAAAAAAATCTCATTTCATATCTAAAATAACAGTAAAAGTTCCTTATGCTAGTGGAAAAAGATTATTAGTCGTGTACTAGTCAGAATAGACTAGTTATGGTTGTGTTAAAAATAATTCCAAGTGCCAATGGTTTAAAGAAAGATTTATTTCATGCTCACCTTCCAGGTAGTATGGAGGTTGGCGTGGAGATGGGAGGGAATTTTGCTTCATGCAGTCATCTTTTAGAGGGCTGGGGGCATGGCCTCGTAAGATAGCAACCCACCGCTGCAATTCTTCAGGGCTCATACAACAGGGCGGAGAGAGGACTCAGGAGTGGCCAGAGAACGCTTGGCTTGGAAGTGATGTACTTCTGGTCTGCTCTCTTCTCCAGGTCCAAAGTAATTTCTTGGCTGTGTCTGTGTTTCAGGGGACAGGAGAATCATAACCACTGCATGTCCTGAAGTGGAGGACAGCAGAGGATTGGAGAATGTTACCAGTGTCTGCCGCAGCCCAACCTGTCAGCACACAGGTGTGTGTGCTGGAAATAAGATGGTTGTGCTTTACAGGCATGAAGAAGAAAACGCCTTCCTTACTGTTGCGCCTGCTGTATTTTCCTGTATGTGGGGTTAGTTGCCAATCAGATTTCTATTTAGAAGTAGTAGCAAGTTCAGTATTAAAACTACTTGAAAGCTTTGAAATTAATTTTCCAAGGTTATTACCAGCAGCTGCATGAATATACATTCCAAATACCAACCAGTATGATGATCATGTGACTGCAATAACTTTAATTGAAAAGATTACAGCGGTCATTGAGGGGACACAAAAGCAACTTCTACAGGACGTTACCTCAGGAGCTGGCTTGCTGTGTGAGCCAGCAGTGAAGGTGGAGGCAGGTCCCCACAATTTTTTTTTTTGGTACTGGGGATCTAACCCATGACTTGCCAGTCAGGCACTTGTGCTGCTGAGCTTTTGCATGACCCCAATCCCCACACTCTGAACATAGATGCATTCATAAAACCAGCCTTCAAAAGCTTTTCTGTTCCATACTCAGGAAAGAGGAAAGTTTTGAGGAAGAGAAAGCATGGAATTCAGTGGGGGTTGACTTGGTGGGAGTGAAAAAGCTCTCTGAAAGGAAAGAGGACTGCTCCATCTCTTTCTTCTCCTCCTCTTGGCTGACACTTCAAGTGTGTGAGACCCTCATTCCCCTCCTTAGCAACTCTCCCTGGAGTCCTGTGCCTTACATGTCTGTATCAGCCAGGGTTTTACTACAGAAGCAGATATAACACAAGATACAAATGCATGAGAAATTACCAGATTGGCTTACGATGGCCAGCCACAGCGTTGGATGAGGAGCTGTGTAGAGGACGTCTACACAGGGGAGGTGAAAGGATTCAAGCCAAGTCCTGGAGCTCACTGCAGTGTCCATGCGAGTCCATGTCAGGAGGCCAGTAGGTCTGTGATGGAAGCTTGAAGAGTCTGAACGATTCAGGAGGAAGCTGAGGAGTTTATGTTAGTGGGATGAAGGATCTGTGCCAGCAGACCGAGGGTTCTGCACTGGAGCCAGATGGTGATGCCTAAGGTAAAGAGAAGAGCTCCCCCAAGGGGAACCGAGACCAGTCCAGTTTGCCAGGAAGGCCAGTGTGACAGACTTCTCCAGGAGAACCACCAGCGTGCCCTGCCGTTTTCCTTTTATACTGTTGGCAATGATCCTCAGGTGGCCTTCCACACCCCGAACCACGCTCAGTTCAACTGGGTGTTACAAACTGACCATTAGTTAACTCACCGCAACGGCGTAGCCGAAGGTACAGATGGCTGTTGAGCTCTTGAAATGTGGCTATAGAACTGTTTTTCATTTATCAGATTCAATGAATTTAAGTAGCAATGGGATTCCACATGGAGAAATGATTTATTTTTCTTTGGCTTTATGAGACAAAGTCTTGCTGTGTAATTCAGGCTGAACCTTGCACTCAATTTGTAGCCCAGATTGGCCTCGAATTCGCAGTGATTTTTCTGCCTCGGCTTCCTGAGTGCTGGGATTACAGGCTTGCGCCACCGCACTCAGCTAGGATGGCTGTGTTTATTCCTATCTTCTTGTGAAGGTTTTCCCTGCATGCTGTAGAGAAACATGTTCATCTCCCACGTGAGGAGTTGACATGAGGTTGTGTTAGGCCAATTTGAAAGAAGGGAGTGGGGGAGATGTGTGGGACTTCTGCAGTGCCTCGCACCTGAGCTCTTTCAACACAGGTTCCTATCACAAGCAGTGGTGCGCAGGGGACCAAGACCAAAGACTTCACAGACATAAAAATCAGGCCCAGGGGCCGGGATTTAGCTCAACAGTATAAGCACCTGCCTGGCAAGCACAAGGTCATGAGTTTGATCCCCAGTACCAAAAATTAAAAAAATAAATAAAAAATCAGGACTAGTGCACAGGTCTCAGACCTGGTCCCCTGGTGTTTTCTTCTCATTCTTTTTCATTGGCTTTCCTGATTAATGAGTTTTATTCTCGCAGATTTGCACATGCAGACTGGTCCTTTTTTTGGGGGGGGGATGGCAGTGGGTTCTGACTTTGTATTTGAGGGAGGTAAAAAAAAAGAAAAAGACAAATGAACCTTGTGTAGTAACCTTTTAATGTAGCATCAGCATCTATTTCTTCATGATATATTTGAATATAAAATCTTTATTGTGCTTGAAATTCTTATTAAAAATGCAGTGAACTTTAGTTTGCACATTCGCAGCTTTTCATTCCTCAAATCATTCTTTTGTAAGAAACAATTTCTTTGATGGTAGTTGTTTAATGAAAGACACGGGCAGTTATCGAGAAGACTAATGCCATCAGACACGCATCTGGTGACTCGGATGTGCTGGTGAGGTGCTGACAGTGAATGGCACTTTGCAATGCTGTTTTTTAGTGAAATCGCTTTTTTAGCTATAAAATCTCTAAAGTGCATCCTGGAAACCTATCTCATTTTCTACCTTTGTCTACTTCTCATTTGGCTAAACATCTCTATTTTTATATGATTATAAAAATTAGTGCTTGGATTAAACCTTTTATGACTCAGACCTCAAGTCTCCCTCACATAGGCAGACTGGTCTCTCCTCCATGCTTACGAAGAGGGCTAAATAGACACTGTGGTACGTGGCTTTGGACATTGTGTTCTGGGGACTTAATTTGAAGGCAAGAGGGTAAAGAGAGGTAGAAAACAAGTATGATATTTTGCTTTAAAAGGGATAGGAAATTTCAGCCTCTGAATTAAAACTATAATTCACTTTAAATAATCTCAGCGCAGAGGAAGTCATATTCCAAACATGAGATCCAACGCACCAATTTTTTCCACCATAGCATGCGTATAAACAGGAAAAATGTTTTCAATGGGAGGTTAGTTTTCGACATCACTTTGCAATGCTCAAATGCAAGATCATTCTTAGTTCTGCCCTCTCCTTGTACATTCCGGAGCCAGCATAAATTCTAAGGCTAGAATTATGCTAATTACTTCTCCAGATCATGCCATAGTCCTGGTGCTATATGACAAGTGTTAAAGATTTAATTATTGAGTTCAGAATAATTGGGTAATTGGCGTCATCCTGTGCCAGGTTTCCCTTTTTTCCTGGTCTTTTGACTAATGGCCCTATTGTTATTGTTGGAGTGGCTCATGCCCCATAGCGCCATGACGCAAAACATGATCTTTGGTAGAAATGCCTCCCACATCTATTCCCTTCAGGAAACCAAAGGGCAACAAAGCAACATTCCAGGTTGAGAACCTGGCATTTTGCACCATGACCCAACCTGTTCCAGGTGAAAAATATCAGGTCAAAAATAGTTTCATGAGAAAACACTGACCCGGGTTCCGGAGTGGCTCTCAATCCTAACTGTGCCCATCGTGTAGACCCTGCAAGAAATATGTTAACAATGCTGCTCTCCAGGGGTTCCTGTCACATAGCTACTAACTCGAGGCTCTACAGGCAAGCCCTAGGTACTTAAATTTTAAAAGGACTCTTAGATGATCCCAGAAATTTAGCCACCTGGATGTAAGGTATCAATCTTGGGGAACCAGACTTAATGTTATAGTTTTGAAATTGCTTAAAGGTCCTGGAAACATATTTCTTGGCTTCTTTTACTTATTCCACTATTAGAAAAGGAAGTCTTAACGGAAGAGAAGGTTTACCATGTTTATTCCTAACTAAACCAAGTCTCTGATCTTAGGGGATGGTTTCACGCATTAAAAGTAAAATGTGTGACTGAGGATATAGCTCAATGATAGAACATTTATCTAGCGTGGATGAGACCTTGTATTCAGTGCCCAGCATTGGGGAAAAAAACAACCAAACAAACAAGAAAGGCCATTTTCAAACAGCATTTTCAATGGATCAGATAGCTGATGTGCTAGAGTTTAGAGCCCAGCGCATCCTTCTGCTTGTTTATTGAGGAGCTGTATACAAATGGAGTATTGTATATTCTTCCTGTGCTTTAAGACCAATTTGTTATTCCATCACCAAATAAAATGGCAAGACATTCACTCCTCTATCCATTTGTTTACTCAGTAGATGTTGTTTGACTACTCAGTAGGCGTTGTGCTTGGTGCTAGAGATATTAAATAAAATAAATCAAGACAATTTTTCTTAAGGAACTGGGAAGCTAAAGCAGATGTTCTCCAAGTGTGTGACCATGGATGAGAAGTGTCACTATCCTCTCCTACAAATGTGAATTCTCTTGTCCCCCCCAGATCTACTGAATCTGAGACATCTTAAGGTTTGAGAGCCACCAGCCTGTAGGAAGAGCAGCCAGTTCAGCAGAAAAAGTGTCCAATGTGACAGGCCTCTCGAAGGTGGGGAGGGGCTGGGGTGTCAGGCCTGTTTCTGGGAGGAAGCAGTGTTGCAGGTCTCTAAAATGCCTGGTACAGAGTGGAGGGAAGGTTCTGCCAGTGTCAGTGTGCCCAACAATAATGAAAAGTTGATGTTGTCTGTTTTTCTTTCTTTTTGGTTCTGGGGATCGAATTCAGGGCTTTGTGCTTGCCAAGCAGGTGCTTGTGCCACTGAGATGACCCCCAGGCCTCTCACTCTGTGCTTTGAAAGGAACTGAGTCCAAGGAAGAAAGTGATTCATCCAAACATACCAAGAAGGCATTGCTCTTTACTCACGATCTATCTGAGTTGAGGGAACTGGGGCTCAGGCAAGCTAAGTGACTTGTGCAAAGTCAACGTGCTGGTAATTAGGATAGCTGGGACTCAAAACCAACTCTGTATAAGAGAAATTTGTTACTATTCTATGTGACCAGAGGAAGCTTGTGTGTTATACTCAAGGAATGGCCTGTTAAATGTTCACGCTCTCCAGGATACCTCCTTTTCTTCAGCTGATTCTGCAAGGCACTTACCTGGCAAATCAATTGCTTCCCGAACTTGCCCCCCTACAAGCACACATATATCTGAAGCAAAACACACAAATAGCTTGTTCTCAAGCTCAGAACATGTGAATTTCATCTTTTCTATATTGTTGTTAAGCCAATGGTTTGTAGAATTTGATTTCACTGTGTCTAAACAATAAACAAATGATGTTTTACATCAACATCAGAATCAGTTGTGACAGATAGCCAATCAGGTTTCATGTGGCAATGAGGTCTAGGCCCAAAAGGGACTGGATTTTTTGGACTAAGGATTTTATAAATTGAATATAATTCATGCAATTAACTCATGTGTGAATGTTGAAAACACAAATAACCTTTCCATTCACTCACACATGTGTGTGTGTACACCAAAAATCTATTTTATGGCACATTCCTGTAACACAAATTATTACTATATATTAAAGGTTTTTTTAAAAAAAATCAAAATTGACCCAGAAAGGTATTAAATCACACATACTGTAAATACCCAATTTATCCTTTTATCTCTTTTTATACTTATAATAAACAATGAAAAAGATTTTGATTAGAAGATGAAATTTTCTATAAAGATGTTTTCAAACTTTCCATTTTTGTGCTCTGGTTTGCTTTAATAGCATGATTAAAAACTCTGCAATTATTGGTCACTATCTTTTCAGTTAGATTATAAGTATTTTTTTACATTTTGGAGAGTCTTGCTAAATTGCTAAATTGCCAGGCTGGGCTTGAATTTGCGGTCCTCCTGCCTCAGCCTTCCAGAGTGCTGGGATGATAGCGTGCCACTGTAGCTGGAGAGGCAGTTTCTTGAATGTGTCTCTGGGGGAACCAAACAGAATCTTGATCTCTAGTTGTATACTTCTTGTCATGATGGGTAAACTAAAAATGAATTTAGCATAGCTCAAAATCCTTTCCTTGATCTCCTTGCTTTCCCTGAGTTAAAATCAGCAGCCTGTAACTCAGATGAAAACTCACTATCTGGATATAAACAACGGTGCTGATTAAATGGAACTCTTTGCCAAGGGAGATACAGCTGAGCACCCATTTTTCATTCAAATGTTCCAGGCTTGTAGAAGTAGCTTCCAGCTCTAAATATATTGAATCACCATTAACCTACTGGAGAAAATAGGATCACAAACACACACTTTCTTATTAGATGAACATGGCAGGTTGTCTGATAATGCAAGCAATAAAATGGAAGAATTTATTTATACCTCTCAAAGGGTCTTGATGAAATCCTTCCTGCCAGAGGAAGATAATTCCTCTCCTTTCGAGCTGCCTAACTTGAATCTTGGTGTCTATGAACCCTTTGGAGTTTGGGACGTGTGTTGGTTTGTTTGTTCTGAGTATTGGTTAGAGGAC